AACATAAAATACAATGGAAGACCACAAATAAGCACATCAGGAAAAATCCCAGAACCCCAGCATTTAAAGTTCTCCAAATGGAAAATATAACCCATATGAATATCAAAAGCATGAGGCAATCAAAAATTTTATTTCAGTAAAAGTGAAAATTTTCTTACACAAAATCATTTCTTTCTGTTTCTTTCATATAGCTCCAACCCTTCTTCACATGCACTCATCACTGTCAAGAGTATATCACAAAATCACAACAGGAGTAACAAAAAAGCATAATCCATCAGTGACAATAATGACCAAACCACCCACCTCTCACCCCTCCCTCATCTTCTCCTCTGCTATAAACCCACCACAGCAAATTTGACAGTGAATTCCCATCATCAAATCCATTCAAACTCCTAATCTTCGCCAAAGCCTCCTCCTTTTCATAAACTCCCTCCAGCGCATACACAAACCCTTTCCAGCCATCAGTAACTCCCTCCCTCGTCAACGCCGGCAATGCCCACTTCACCAGCTCCTTCACAAACCCAACATCTCTGAAAAGATCTTCCGTTACTGGCAACAATGGCAGAACTTGAATCCCCAATCTGCACTCTCTCCATTCAGCTGGCGCGAACCATAACCCACTGTCTCTTTTATTAGCCCACAAGACCCCCACCACTCTGTTCTCCCTACTGAAATCATCCTCATACATTCCATCCCCTTCCCTCACATGCCACCATGTCTCTGCAGCAGCAATCTCGAATGCCGCCAGCGTAGACCCAATCGCCACCAGATGTGCATCACCATAGCTCAGTCCCATGAGCGCCGCAGAGTAATATGCGTTCACCGCTTCACTTGTGCTCTCCTGATTGCGCCCATCCGCAAACTCTGTAAGCCCTCCAGCCCAAGAATGCAACTTCCAGAGATCAAAACATCGCAATCTGGCATAATTTGATCCAGACAAGTTTATGAAATCTGCCATGATTGAATAGGCTTGAGGTTTAAACTTTCTGCCCCATGATGGATCGAACTTGGCAAGCACCGCAATTGCATAAAGGAAGTAGCCAAGGTGGTAATGGTGGTCATTGAAGACACCAAAGCCAAAATCAGCACCGGAATCCGTCGATCCCTGCTTTGTTATAAGACCGCCCCATTTAGGATCATAAAGGAATCCATTTCCATTAAAGCTTCCATCAAGCCATGGAGTTATATATGTTCTGAGGAAGCTCAGAACCGCGGGGATTACATCAGGGAAGCCAACTTCCTCTGCAATAAGAGCCAATCTTGCCGCCCTGGCAATTGCCTTGCCGTAAAAATAAGAAGAAGTCGTTTGAATCGGCGAAGAATCCAAAGCAGTAACATCTTTAGATAAGGCATTAACGATCTCTTGCACACCATCTTCGCTGACGCCATTCGTCGAATTCCATGTGGTCGACACTGGATCGGTTTTCAACAACCAAGAATCACCAACAATACCTACCAGATCGCCGTCGATGCTCCGGTACTTGAAATCTTCAATTACGTTGGCGGATCCGCTGGCGTCGAGGAGCCGGAGATGGAGAGGATGAGCGAGAAGAAGAAGATCACCCCACCCCTTCTTTTCCCACCTGTACTCGACGTACCCCGGCCTGGTGAAAACAGCTTTACCTGC